ATCTTTCTTCTATCATTGACAGTCCCTCTAGGTTGTGGGCTGCTTGCCTGTGTTCCTGAGAAGCATCTACGGTACCAGTCTATAGAGTGTGTTTTCTTTAGTGAATTACCGGTATGTTTACCGGTAATAAACTTGCACTGTTTTATGTATATGTTTGATTACATACAGCCTTGTGACAGTTTTCCTGCATGTCATAAGCATTTGAATATAAATTAAAATGTTAAAATCAAATCTGATATTGTTTTACCTTTTATTTGGTGTATGGAAGGTGTGCGGAAGAGGGGGTAGTCTTATACGGCGAGTATATAACAAACTCTGTATTTTGAGTGGAAATGTTAGGGGGTCGTCTTATACGCCCAGTCGTCTTATACGCCGGCAAATACGGTACTAAGGCCGTTTCTAAGTAACCATGTATAACAGCGGTTCTCAACCTGTGGGTTGCGACCCCTTTGGTGGTCGAACGACCCTTTCACAGGGGTCGCCTAAGACCATCCTGCATATAAGATATTTACATTACGATTCATAACAGTAGCAACATTACAGTTATGAAGTAACAACGAAAATAATTTTATGGTTGGGTCACAACATGAGGAACTGTATTTAAAGAGCCAGAAGGTTGAGGACCACTGATGTATAACAATAAGAGTGTAATATGGTAATTAGACTGAACAACCTTCTGGATGACCTTCTGGACAAAGCAGTGGCTGGGAGGGCAAGCCACCGCAGCTGTGAGGGCCAAGCCCCTTGCATGAATTTCGTGCATTGGGCCTCTAGTGGTATTATAAAATTGGTCATCATTTACAAGGTGAGCTTTATTACACACACAATAAATGTTTCAAAGTTAAAAATCAAACTTGATTTCTCTCTTCTTCATCTATATTTTTGAAGGGCATAAAAGAAAACTTGACAAAAATAATATTTAATAGGATGGAGACAAAAGGAGAGCTTAAGTTATTAAGACAACTTTACTGTACTTAGAAAAGCACACAGTTAAATGCAACGGGATTAATAAAAAACTAAGTACCATTAACCTTCTGGTACCTAAGCAACTTATGTACAAATAGCTCATATTGCCAATTAATTTGCAAAATAAAGCAATACCAAAATTATCCAATCATCTTCTTACCTGTGGAGCTGCCTCCCTCCTCAGCAGCTGCCCCAGGAAGAAACAATCATCCACCTTTCCAGATGAGCACCTGCGTGGAAGGAGGCAGTGACAGGGGAAGAGGAATGGAGAACATGCAGGCAGTGGGACCAACAAACCAACTGCCACATTAAGCTCTGGTGAATGGAGGGGAAGTTGAGGAAGCGCTGCCTCTGAGGAGGCCTGGCCGCTGAAGCAGGGCAATTAAAGTAGGTCTAACGCAAAGTCTCTGTCGAAAATGGAAACAAAGACACAAATACATACACACACACACACACACACACACACACACACACTTAACTTCTTCATGATTATCTACAAATTAATTTTGGTAAAATTTCTCATAATTAAAATAAAAATAAATCATATTTACATATAGAATTTATGATCATTTCAAACACTCAAGTATCCTGGGAAAACAAGTAGAAATTCATTTATGCATCTAAACATTACTGTAAAGAGATGACAGTAACAGCAATACCGGGACAAAGAGACAATATAAATAAGAGTAAATATATTACTATTATCTGAAATAAATGCCAAAAAAAACCCGATTTATCAGAACAGTAACTATTACAGTTGCTACATTCCATCTTCATTTTCATTCTCAGTTAATTCTGAAGTCACCTTTCCTGTTTATACTAGATCCAAAGATAAATTTGAAGAGGATGAAAAAGCAGCAAACCTTAACCTCTGTCTCTCCCACTTAATTTTTTTAGAAATACTAGTGTCTGATAAAAGTTATTTCTACCTCCCTACCTCCTTTCTCAATTCCCTGCCAACTTTAAAACTTACGATATAAAAATCACATGTGCCACTATCCATACCTCAATGATTACAGTTGCTATCGGCTGGAAAGGATTAACAATAATTGGCTCTGGATCCACCTCAGCCAGACCACTGGTTCCATCGAGTTCAGCCTGCTCTCGCTCTCTTTGTTCTCTATTGTTTGAGGGGAAAAAATTGTAATTCCTGAGAAAATGCTGAACCATGTTTAAGAACACTTGCAATAGGTTTAAGGCTATTAAATGTAGTAATTTAAACATCTGGATACGGCTTTAAATTACTGATTTTCAGAAATCCTTATACAGTTTACAGGCCTCTACCCCTGTGTGAAAATTATTCATTTGAATCTTTAAAAGACAGAAATGACAAAAATAACATTCCCTATGACTGATTTCTTAATGTCAACAGTGCACATTAATTATCCTATGTGCTATTTATTGTATTTAGCAATTTATTAATTACCATCCCAAACCAATGCTGTCCTCTTCATTGATGTTAACAGATAAATGAGTCCTCTTGTTAACCCTCTTCTGAAGGGCTGTGTCAAATTACTTATCATATATGAACTAGATAATGACTGCTGCTTTGCATAATAGAAGAGGCCATAAAGATAAGTTGCACTATATCACTTATATTAAGTAATTCCATACTTGTTACTACTGAAACATTTACTATCTCTGTGACTTTTAGTTAATGTTACCCCATACATGAAGAGTAATTAAGTTATAAAACAATTAGCTGGTGACTAGTGTAGATCTGCAACTGGGCTACAGGTATAGTACAGCAATGTGAATGTTCATTACTATGACGTTTATTAATTATGTCCTCTGGTGGAAAGATCTATCCTTTCATTCTGAACCTAGCAAGCCAAGATTTAGAGGGCTGCAATTTATGACCTCTGTGACCTTGGACATGTACCTGGATCCTTGAATGACAGTTTTCCCATGTGGATAAAAATATCTACTTCATAGGGTTGTTTCAGCTAAAGTAATATATGTGAAAGCACACTGTAAATGAACATACTTATAGGGCAGTAAATGTTATTAATATTACTAATTTATTAGCAAGCAGTTTCAGGTATTTAGTATTATAATACTATTTTCAGATACCAACAATAATTTTTTTTACAGTTTTTCAAAAATATCTGAATCTATTAGATTGGATTTAATGAAGTAAAAAGGTTTTTTGTTTTTTTTTTAGTAACTCCTCTCTAAATGGCGTTTTACTTTTAATTATGGAGACTGTGCTCAACAGGAGAGATCTTAGATCACATACAGCATGGCTAGGAGAAAGGAGGAAAGGGGAATGGGTATTAGAAAAGCCTGCCATCACATGACATAGAACATCTTTATGGTAAAGGTAAGAACTTGGAGGGGGGGGTGAGACAGGGGAAATAACTAATATCAGATTTCTTTTATCCCACTAATTATTTTTTGTTCTTTTGGTTTGTTTTCTTAATGGAAAAAAAACAAAGGAGTCTTCAGAAAAGTATGGCCATATATTTTATTTTTATAAGTATACAAAAGGTAGACTTACATGAACGATTGGTTTACTGAGCTTTATATCATGAAAATATACAGTAGGATAGAATACCAAATTTCTCACAGGAACTAAAACCTCATATCAGTATCAAGAGAGATCCTAGATAAATGATCTGCTCATATTATTGAGCACTTGGCGATGGGGAGTTATTGCTACAAGTATTTCTTTCCTTTAAGTCCTACCTATAAATTAAATGAAAGATACCTGTAATCAGAGGATTTCCTTTCAGAGTAAGAGAATACCTCACCAAGGCACCACCAAGGGCAGTTTAGTGGGTTCATGTCTACTAGGCTGCAAGTACGTTAGAGGACATGGAAGGCCAGTATTTCTTAGTTAGATGGGAGACAACTTTAGATCTTGAAGAGCTCACTTAAATATCTTTTGATTTCTCCCCTTCCCTATTATGCAACTATCTAGTTGAGAAAATAAAGAGAAATCTTGGGATAAAGTATTAAATTTGACTTTTATCAAATATGAGTACTTTTTCACAGCATTAAGATTATTAGAAACTAGAGGCCCAGTGCATAAAAATTTGTGCACTCGGGGGAAGGGGGGGTCCCTCAGCCTGGCCTGTGTCCTCTTGCAGTCTGAGACCCCTCGGGGGATGTCCACCTACTGGCTTAGACCTGCTCCCCGGGGGACTGGGCCTAAGCTGGCAGTCAGACATCCCTCTGGCAGCCCAGGAGCCTCGGGGGATGTCCACTTGCCAGCGGGGAGCAGGCCTAAGCCACAGTCAGACATCCTTAGCGCTGCTGAAGAGGAGGGAGAGGCTCCCGCCACCACCACTGTGTTGGCAGCCGTCAGCCTGGCTTGTGGCTGAGCAGAGCTCCACCTGTGGGAGTGCACTGACCACCAGGGGGCAGCTCCTGCACTGATGATTCTGTGGTAGAATTTATGAAATCATTGTTTTTTAATTCGAAGTTCACTAAATTTAGTTTGAAAGGTCCCTTTCAGGAAATATATTTTTAAAATAATTTGAAAAATATATTTAAAAAACCTGAGACAGTATAATTTAGTTTATTTTGTGAGAAAACTAGTGTTGAAGATCAGATTTTGTTTCAGTTGATTGATCCACTATCAGCTTGCCTTCTGTCTTTGCTGAGACTAAAGAAGCATTTCTCAATAATTGACAATGGACTCAATAATTCTCTGTTGTAGGGGACTGTCCTGTGCAGCACTAGTTGTTGAGCAGCTTCCTGGCCTCTACCCACTAGATGTCAGTAGCACTCCACCTCATCCCCAGCTGTGACAAGTAAAAAGGTCTCTAGACACTGCCAAATGCCCTCTAAGAAGCAAAATCAGCCTACTGATCAAAAACCACTGCAATAAAGGTACTCATAAGAAATAAGAGATAGAAATTTTAAATCTCTTAGAAATAATAAATACATAAGGAATAAATTTAACTACCATACTACCACCAGGAAAAGTAGAATACTATCACCCAAACTTGTATAGAGAAAGATCCATAAAAACAGAAACTTTATATAGTGTCTTCCTTCAGACACAAAAAAGAAACTGAATAGACAGAACTAATAAATTATTCCTAAACTTGTGGTGGGTTTTTTGTTTGTTTTCTTTTTTACGTTTCAAATGCACCATGGTACAAAATTAACCTACTTACCTTTCTTCTCGTAATTTTCGCACTCGTTCAGCCCTTTCTCGTTTCTCTTGTTCCTCAAGAGCACGTTGCTCTGTTGTGTCCTTTTGGATGCGTTCATTTAAGGCATCAAAGTCTCTTGCAATGATATCTAGCAGCCAATAAAGGCCTTTTTTAATGGACTTGTCAATTTTCTTTCCAGATCCCAAGATTGCTGAACAAGGTTCCTGAAAAACAACAATTTACTTGGCTTAAACAGTAAAACTAAAAGTTCTCCACAAAAATCTACTCAAAAACCATTAAGTATAATTATTGGTAAATCAAAATTAACCCATTAAATTAATGATATAAAGCACCTGCTTATTTGACTCACAAAACATACCATTGCAATAACCACTAACATTAGTTCATAGGAGCTGAAATATTTCAAGTACAATCTCTATAAGCTATGAGAGATACTATAACACAGGAAGTCAACAGTGCCAGTTAAAACAAACTCACTGGAAGACAAAATCAAACTTCCAGTCCATAAGGAATTTATAGCAGTAAACATCTTTTAAGATTGACAGTCTTAATGTCCATCTTCTGAAGCCAGAATTAACCGTTTGGCTGCTAACGTATTTTTTCGGACATATGCCAAAACTGCGGCACTAATTGCGCGTGTATGGGAAAAAATGTAAAACACTTTTTATACAAATTCAAGTGTTTTGGAGCAGCATTATTACGCTCTCCGCAGTCTTGGCATAAAAAAAAAACAGGGAGAGAAACTAAGATGGCGACATAGATAAACACCGGGAAATTGCTGCCTCCCACAACAATTGAAAAATACATCAAAAACACAAAACAGACATCATCCAGAACTACAGGAAGGCTGGCTGAGTGTAAATTTTACAACTAGAAGGAAAGAAAAGCACACTGAGAGCCAGAGGAGCTGCGGAAGTAAAGTGCAGAGGTAGGGGGCTAGCGCGCGCAAAGGGTCTGGCACCTGAGGACGCGGCTGTCTTTGATAAACACCGAAATTGCTGCCTCCCACAACAATTGAAAAATACATCAAAAACACAAAACAGACATCACCCAGAACTACAGGAACGCTGGCTGAGTGTAAATTTTACAACTAGAAGGAAAGAAAAGCACACTGAGAGCCACAGGAGATGCAGAAATAAAGCGCAGAGGTAGGGGGCTCGCGCGCGTGAAAAGGGTCTGGCACCTGAGGACGCAGCTGTCTTTTTGAATCCGGAGGGAGTCACAGGCTCCCGACTGCTCTGAACTCCGGTTCCGGGAAGTCTCTGGGGATCCAGGACTCATACGGG